ATCGTCCTTGGGTCCCCCAAACCAGGGAGCCGAGAATCACCAACCGAGGCCAACTTCGAAGTAAGGGTCTTCACTCACCTTTACCAAGTCATCGCCTGCCCACCCCACCTTTTCCTCCATCCACACCCCCGACGCGCAAACAATGCAGGTCGCGGGAGTCGGTGGGCTGGTATGCGCAACACGTGGCCCAGCCATCGAAACCTGGTGCATGAAATAACGGTGCTACTACAGCTATGTGTAGTCAAGTATCCTTTAAGGGGAGTTGTTGGTAAATGGAACACAGAAGGGGGTCTGCACGTTGCAGAAGACCTAGATAAGGCGCAGTTGCTGCGTGTTTTTCAGAAACCTCATAGAGCAAATAGCGTAAGCAAGGGGGAAATTGGAGAAATGGTAGTAACTACAGCGGATATCCTCTCTGTTCTGAAGGACTTATACCCCTGCAAATGCCCCGGCTCTGATAATGTGCATCCAGCCATTGTAAAGTCAATTGCCGATATTTTCGATCTTCCAGTCCTTGAACTTTACATGTCTTCGTGAAGGAAGAATACTACAGGATTGGAAGGAGGCGTGGTAGTGGTCATTCATAAAGGGGTCCTAAATCATCACTGAATAATTACAGGCTTGTTATTTTGACCAGCGAACTTTTGTAGTGTCTGGAGAAGCCTGTCAAAAATCAAATCTGTGAGCATATCACGGTCCACAACTTTATAGGAGCGGAACAGCATGGCTTTGTCGGAAAAAAGTCGTCTCACTAACCTGCTGCTTCCTTGACGAAATAACCCGGTGCCTTGATGACGGGATTCCGGCAGAAAAGATTACGTTGCATACAGTAAAGCTTTTTACTCAGTAAACTACTGCTTTCTGCTAGAAAAAATGACCTGGTTTGGACTAAACCTTCAGTTGCTTTCTTGATTGTCGGCGTTCCTCTACGGTAGAACATCTCGCGTTAGGTTTGGAAACGGTATTTCGAGCACAGGTACTGCACATATTGAAGTCCCCCAGGGTTCAGCACTCGGTCCGCTACATTTTCTTATTTATAAATGACTTGACCCCCTTACTTGAGGAGCTCTTCTATATTTTTGCTGATGATTTAAATTTGTTAGCAAGAGAGACAGGGCTACTCCACTTAAAGATTGGGCTACTGTTGTTAACTGGTAACACTTATAGAATCTGTCCTTAGACGCCAGCAAATACCAAACCTTGAATCAGAGTGGTGAAAACGTGGTATTGCATGCATTTATTAGATCCCTGACATTGTACGCGAACTTGACATCATCGTAACGAATAGCTTCAAGCCATCGGTGTAATTCTAATATGCTGATACCAAAGCAGAACAGGTTATCTCGACAGGAGAGCTCTGAGTTGTATCAGGCCAAAGGTCTTTCTCCCCTTGCATAAAGCAGTGGTCAGATCACATTTGGAATACTGTGTTCAGGAGTGGGCGCCCTTCCTGCAGTAGGAGGTAAATTGTATTGAGAATGTGCAGAAATTGGCCACTTGAATGATAGAAGATCAGCGAGGGTTACCGTATGAGCTTTGGTTAGCTAACGTGGGATTGTTCCCAATGAGACGCAGGCTGAAAGAAAACTTAATAGACACAAGATCATGAAGGGTCTCAGCGGTCTCAGGCCAACCGTTCTCATTGAATCAGCTAAGTCGGACTACTTGCGGGCCATATTTTAAAATTAAACAAAGCTCTAGACTCGATATAAGAGCTAAGTTCTTCTCGAATCGAGTAGTGCTTAGTTGGGACAAACTTCCTTCTGCATTATTGAAATGTAAGACGCTGGATGACATCAAGCGAGGCCTGGACGAAATGTGGTTAGCCCAGTTCCCCGAATTCTTGTGGGTACGCATATGAGCTTCTAACCACATGCAAGTAGCCTATGCGGATTCGTGAAAATGCTGTGGCTATTTTGTTGGTACTACTTTCTTCTTCTAGTATAAACGCAAGAATTTACTAACACGTCGAAGTGCTGGGAGCTCTTTTCGATTACTGGTACACGAAACGGGACGCTGGTTAAGCGAAAGCTCGTTTTCTTTCTGGATCCTGTCCTGTCCTGCTCTGCGGTAGTCGCATTGAATGCCGCGAGAATCATCCGTCACCAGCACATCACATCCAGTTAGCTGCAGCTAGCATACAAATTCAAGTGGGACCGGAACAGTAAGAGTGTCCCGTGATTGTTCCAAAACGTAAAGCGCCGTTGATTCCAAAGTGAAAGATGTAGGGAAACCTGTAAGAAGAGGCCAAATCAACACACACGGTACACAGTAGAGTCAACCAAACAATGTCAACGTGCTCTGCACTAGCAGTCCCCGGTGTCGGCCACGTGAAATGAAGTAAAAATGGAATAATAAAAACTAGACAAGCTGGAGCAATCGATGTAACAACTTTGGAATGCAAATGGGAAGTTAAAAACCCGTAAGCATCAACAGTTAAGACAAGGATGCCCGCTGTCACCTTTCCTCTTCAACTTCGCTATTGATGAAGTCATGGAAACAGCGTTCGCTGGACACGACCTAGAAGGTGTGGAGCTACTCCCTGGTGAGCGACTTCTTGACTTGGAGTATGCAGACGATATTGCCCTAATCTGTGACGGTTCCCAAACGTGCCAAACAGCACTGAACCGATTAGCACTGGCTGTCAGTCGTTTTGAGCTATGCTTTGCTCCATCAAAATGCAAAGTACTTCTCCAAGATTGGCAGGGACCCAATCCTGCGCTAACGCTTGGTGGTGATCTGCTAGAAGTCGTTCAGGAATTCAAGTATCTGGGCAGCTATATTAGCACCCGTGGGATTGAAGATGAGGTTACGAACCGTATAGCAAAAGCTCGAGGTGCTTTTGCCAATCTCCGCCACCTGTGGCGCAGACGCGACATTACTCTCGCCCTCAAGGGCAGAGTTTACAACGCAGCCGTCCGTTCAACTCTCCTATATGGCTGTGAAACCTGGCCCATCAGGTCGACAGACATGAAGAGACTCGTCACGTTCGATCATCGCTGCCTTCGCAGCTTAGCTCATGTCTGGTGGGAACACCGCGTGAGCAATGAGCGTGTTCGAGGTCGCGTATTTGGTGCAGGAAGAGCGAGTGAACCGCTCAGCACGATTATATCACGCACCAGGCTCCGATGGCTGGGCCACGTCTTGCGCATGCCAGCACACCGACTCCCACGACGTGCATTGTTTGCGCGTTGTGGGTGCGGTTGGAAGAGGAGGAGGGGAGGCCAAGTGATGACTTGATCGCGAGAAATGAAAACCCTCACTTCGAAGTTGGCGTCGGTTGGTGCATCCCGACTGCCTGGCTGGGGTCCTAAGGACGGTGAACACGTTTGGCTGGACACACTTGCTGATATGGCTAGGAGCCGGCCCCAATGGCGTTTGTGTTGTGAGTTCCTTTGTCCATCCCCCTCCTGTTTAGCATCCCCCTCCAATCACAATCTCAATCGTTAGGCATAATATGACTTTCTTTTACGGCAGCCAGCTGTTAGCTCTCCGGAACGATGTCCATCGGTTACTGGGGACTCAGCGGGCGTGCCACTGTTTGTTTGTTTTTTCTTTTCTTGCCTTTTGTATTGCGGCACAATAGCTGAGGTGTTTTCCACCTCCAGCTAACGTGTAATGATGATGATGATGATGTTAAGAGTAAAGCTAAAATGAGAAAAGGGTTAAACTGTAGACGAAGGGCGCCAAGTCGATGCTCGAACTGTTACACCGTTGGCGCTATAACTACCTCAGCGGGAAGTGCATTCCAAGAGTCTATAACCCGACGTGATAACCAAGAATCAGTTCCAACCCGGTCCGAACGGAGTTTGTGCAACTTCAGTGGATGGCCACAAAGAGTTGGCACCCGAAAGGGATGGAACAGTACGGACAGATCAGGGCCCACTTGACCTGTTATGGTGCGATAAGTGAGGAGCAGGCTATCCGGGAAAAGGTAAAAACATAAAGGAAAACCATTATTTTAGCAATTAATTGTTTATCTTCCATCGTGTATTGATTTCGAAGGTTCCGGAACCTTCCATTCCTTCACGTGATCGCCTGCATACGGAGTTTTGAAAGGGAGGCTACTAATTTTCCCAGTTGACCTACGTTTTCTAAAAGCCGGTCATTAAGCTCCCTATATATTTGGCGTAGGTCTGGCGTAGTTGTACAGCGTCTTGGCGGCATTTTTGGCTACGCTGACAGCGTTTTGGTTAACACGTTTTTCGTGGTCTAGGTCAAGTTCAAGTGGGACTGGAACGATAGGATTATCCCGTGAGTGTTCCTTCTTCGGCGGGTCGTTGAACCAGGAGTTGGCGGACTTTGAAATACTGATGGACCTAAAACAAAGACCGCATCACACCCTGTCCAACCAATTAATGCCCACGTATCCTGCCCTAGCAGTCCCTGTTGGGCCGGTTACGTGAAGTAAGAAAGAGAAAAAAGTAAACTCAGAAGGCAAAAGAGAAAGTGGAAAGAGCTAAGCAAGATATTTGAGTCATTAAAAAAGGAACTGAAAAGTGAAGGTGAGTCAGCTAGGAAAAAGGAAAAGTTTGCTGTTGCCACCCAAGAGCATCGAGCTGGCGCGCAAAACCCTTAACCGTAGGTTCCCTAACCACGTGATCTGGAAGCGAATTCCAGCGATCTATAACGGCGCGATAGACGAGTTTCCGTCCTAATCCTATCAGACCGTGGTTTATGCAGTTTCAGTGGGTGACCGCGGAGATTAGGTAACGTAGTGGGACTAAATAGCCCTGATAAGTCCGGGCCAATCTTACCCGTCAAAATACGATAAGTGAGAATCAGGTCCCCTCTTATCCTTCGGTAGTGCACTGAGTACATCCCCAAACTGAGCAAGCGTTCAGGATACGTCTGTCCCCGTAGACCCTGCACTAACCGAGTGCCCACTCGTAACACCCTCTCCAAGTCCATTTTGTCTCGGTTAAGACATGGTGGACAAGCCTGAATACAATATTCCAGGTGGGGTCGGACGAATGCCGAAAATAGCTTCACAAACAAATTGGCCGTTAAGATTCCGAAAGAGCGGCGGATAAACCACATCATACGAAACCCTCGACAAGCAGCCTTCTTCCAATTGTCTCCAGAATGAAGTGCTGATGCGTGTACGACTCCTAAATCAACCTGCTGAGTGACAACAGGGAGTTCACCACCGCCGACAACATATCGGGTGGGAGGATTAGCAGCTCCGATTCGGAGAACAGAGCACTTGGCCCTATTTATGGGCATCAACCATAAGGTAGACCATTCCCAGAGCCTATCCAAGGCATGCTGAATTGCCTCAGGACCCCCGGGATATCCACAATATTCCAGAGCTTAAGGTCGTCAGCAAACATTAGTGATGACACCCCTAGCTCTCCCTGCAAGTCATTTACATAGATCGCGAACAACAATGGCCCCAATACCGAGCCCTGCGGAACGCCACTAAGGACAGCTTGCCTGAGCGAAAGGCTACGCCCCACCCGTACGCACTGTTCCCTCCCCTCAAGGAAGGCAGACACCCATTGAAGGGCGCGACCAGATATCCCGTAAGATCTCAACTTTAGTGAGAGCCGAAGATGTGGAACAGTGTCAAAAGCTTTCGAAAAGTCCACGAATAGCACGTCTACAGCGTGGCCACTGTCTACCGCTTCGGCCCAGCTTTCACGAGCTACAAGTAGATTAGTCTGACATGAAAATCCCTTGCGGAATCCATGTTGCGCAACACTGAGAAGGTTGAATCTATTCAGGTGGTTCTCCACTGAATCCCTTATCAGCTTTTCAAACAACTTGACTACTACGCTTGTCAAACTGACAGGCCGGTAGTTCGCGGGTAGAGCGCTGTCACCGCCCTTAAAAGTCGGACAGATGATTGCCTCCTTCCATTCCGAAGGTAGGATGCAGCTGTCCAGCGATATTGAAAACACGCATGTGAGAGGACCACTCAGCTCAGTGGCCAATTCATGCAACAGCTTCGGATGAATTGAATCAGGACCGGAAGCTTTAGAGGGATTAATGCCTTGCAGTAGCTCGAAGACCTGAGTCTCCGTTATGCTAAACTCAGCTAAGCAAGAATCCTCTGGAACTCTTGAAACCAATTCAACCTGTGGTAAAGAGGTCTCCCGAGCAAAGACCCCAGTATACTGATCACTAAGTATACAAGCCTTGTCATAGTCAGTTTGCGCACGGGTCCCGTCTGCTCGCAATAACGCTGGTATAGACAGTTTTGCCCCGCTGCGTCTTTTAACGTAAGCAAAAAATTTCTTGGGATTAGCTGCGGCCGAGTCCGCTAAACCCTGCTCGTACTGGAGACGAACAGTTCTGAGATGTTGCTTACATTTATTTCTAATCTCTCGATAACTATCATAGGTACTGGCTGATGAAGCTGCTTGGTAGGTTCGCCAGCATCTAGACCGTTTCTTGAGTAGGTACTTGCCTGTGGTATCTATCCATGGAGGCTGTGCCCTTAACCCTCTTTTCCTCATGAGTGGAATATAGGGAGTGGAAACCTCCGTAAGGTATGCCTTAAATTTATCCCAGACTAACTGGACAGAGTCGGCCATCGAGATCTCACAGTTCAGAACTGAAGCCTTAGCTCGCATTGCACTAAAGTCCGCCCGCCAAATATTCGGAAGTAATTCAACAGCGGTCTCTTGGTGCCTTGAAAGAGCACATCGAAAGGATATGCATGCGTGATCGCTGGACCCTAGAGGTGCACCGTATGAAACGTCAGTCACGAAGTCGAGGGACTTAGCGAAAACCAAATCTAAAGTAGATGGTATTTGGTTGTCCATATACCTAGTGGGAAAGGTCACGAACTGGTGCAAAGGCACTTGGAGAGTCAGTTCAAGAAAGTCTGCACCGAATGTTTCTGATGCCGAATTGCAAGAAAGATCGGCCCAACAGACTTCCGGGAGGTTGAAATCCCCTAGAACTAAACACTTATTCGCAGACTGAGTGCGAATAAAGTCAAGTATCCCCCTGGAAGAACTTCCAGGACTTCTGTATATCACTATAACTGTAAACTGGGTAGAGGAAGTGCACAAAACAGCCGATAGGGCTTCAACAGTCTGATCCGACGACTGGAATGTGCAGGTCCTCAACACATCTAAGTTACAGCTCACATAAAGTACAACGCCTCCGCCTTGGCGACCAACGGAGCGATCAGTTCTAAGCAGCGCGTAGCCAGGTAAACATACCTCACCGTCCGTGATATCCGGAGACAACCACGTTTCAGTGAAAGCAAGTATGTCGGGACGAGATTTGTCTACAAGTAGACCCAACTCGTGCACCTTGTTCCTTAGGCTACGCACGTTGCTAAGTACTACCTCAAGAAAGTCGGCACGACCATCCCTGGGTCGTGCGCCATCAGGATGGGTTCTGATAGGGCGGAAGATAACTTCCGGCTGACCACCTGAAAACCCACCAGACGGAGGCCTTGCTCACCAGCCGCCCGTCTAGTTTTGAGGTCTTTGATAGCCTCCTTTAACTTCAATCTATCTGCCAGCGGTAGGTCCGGCTGAACGCTGACACCACTACCCTTAAGTTTGAATGCAAACCGCAGTAATGATTTGCGTTCCTCCGGGGTAGAAAGGACCACGCGAAGTAGTCGGGGTCGCGGATTTGGCGTAGCGATAGGGACGTTCCCCAATCTGGTCAGCTTTCTGACAGTGACACCAGGGAAGCCAGGTGGAAGCAGCTTGCTGACACACAGTTTCAGCCACTTGATGTCATCCAAGATGCGTTCCCTTGGGAGAGCGGCCGCAGATTCAGTAACGTTACGGAATATAACGCTACTATCCGTGAAAGAGTCGGCACGACGGGGAGTGTTTACCCCACGTGCCTTTGATTCGACACCTATACCAGATGTTTTCACCACTGGCGGTGGGACTGTCCCTGTCTTCACAAACGACGTCGAAGCAACGGTAGCATAGGTTTTCCGCTCTATTGCCGGCGTCTTACTAGTTCCTGGGTCTTCAAGCCCCTTCGAAGTTTTACGAGCAGATCTAGTCCGCTTCTTCTTTTGGTTCACTGGAGCAGGGGCCGTTGACCTTGTATCGCATTGAGCAGTTACCAGCACTTCGTCAGAACGGGCTGGTTTAGTGGCGGCCGAGACGGTCATCATCTTCGGAATGTTATCCTGTGCACAATAGTCAGACGACTTTACGACTGTCAAAAACGGCATCTTTTTCGATGCCGTGGTAACTAATTCTCTGGGTTTAGCAGAGGGCTTTTGGTATTTTCGCACCCGATATTTTTCACTTTGATCGGCTCATGAGAATAGCCAGCAATGCTAGCTGGATTGGCCGATAGGATGTACGAATTCATGACCGAGTGACAGACCCCAGCGGATGGATCGTCAGCAATGTTGCCGTCTATTGCAGTGTCTTCAATGGAAATATTCAGGGATTTTAAACTCAAATCCATTTTCGTAACGAGCGACGCAATAAAGGCGAGTTTGGCTATCGCCTTCTCAACATCTGCCAACCTTGAAACCAGCGCTGAAAGTTTAGCACCGGTGATAGCCGGGCGCGTCGATCTTTGAGCGCAGCATTCAGCACAGCTGAAAAGAAAGTGAACGCTGGATGATAGCATTTTGTACTGGTCAGCTTGTAGGCCAGTAGGTCAGCTTGTCGGTCCCGTATCACGAAAGTTGTACCGGCCTACAAGCTGACCAGTACAAAATGCTATCATCCAGCGTTCACTTTCTTTTCAGCTGTGCTGAATGCTGCGCTCAAAGATCGACGCGCCCGGCTATCACCGGTGCTAAACTTTCAGCGCTGGTTTCAAGGTTGGCAGATATTGAGAAGGCGATGGGACCGACACATCCGCCACTGGCGCGATTTTGAATGCGGGCTGTTGTTCATGAGGACAACCTGTTTTCTCGTTCTGAAAAAGTAAACGGTTAACCTGTGAGTGCTACGCGGTAACTTGACTTTTTGGCGTGCCATACTGATCGAGATTTTTAGTTGAATTGACGTGGAAAACAGTGTTTGAATAAACACTTGAAACGAAATTTGACTATTGTCAAATTTCCTCTGATCCAAGATATCTTGGATCGATTAAAGCGGTTCTGGTCAAAGCGTCTTTGGCGCTTACTGGTAATTCTTCCAGTTTTTCCCAGTTTTAACCCCGTTTTGCACCCCGTTTTTTTGCCTTTTTATTGTGGTCGTTTAACTATTGCATACGTGTTATAATCACTCTGTTTTCCACTATGTCGGTCTCGCAATGCACCGAGGCTGTTGTTCCTGATGGCTCGGATTCTGAGGTTATCGCACTTTGTGGCGGACCGAGCTGCAATGTACCAGTAACTGACGCTTCAGGCGGTATGCAATGCGATGTCTGCAACCGATGGTACCATCAGCTTTGTACGGAGCTAAATACCGAGCAGTACGCAGCGCTGGCCTCTAGCGAAAAGTTGCTGTTCCGTTGTGCCAATTGCTGCAGCCGCCGGCAAGGCCGCACAGCCTTTCGTACGAGAGATGAATCTCTTGATACCCGGCTGCGAAATGTAGAGCGTTCGTTCTCGATGCTCTCTGATCTTCGCTCAAAGATTGATCTGCTTATGACGACGCTTCCGGTCTCCAACAAAGCAGATTTGCTCGCTTACACTGATGATCAGCTTGTGGCACCTATCATTATGTCACCGGTCCAGATGGCTACCGACCACAAAAATGAAGCAGCTTCGGACGTCGTATCTATACCTACGCTGATCGATGCCGAATTGCTGGTTCAAGGGTCACTTCGAGTTAAGCGAAGAAGAGCCAGGAAACCTCGTAAGCTCTCTGCTAAACAAGAAGTTGTCTCGGCACCGGTAACAGGCCAAGTGTCGTTACTTGGCAAACCGTCTGACGGTTGTGCGAAGGCGAAGATCACAACACGCACTACTTATCAGCCGAAGTTGCCGGAAATCTTGGTTCTCACCGAGAAGACATATTCTGAAGGTGTGCTTGATTCTGCTCAAAGCGAAAAAGCCCCACGGGACCCTACTCCTGTTATCAAGAAGAAAAAGCAGACAAAATCTGCTATAAAGCCTTCCGGTGAAATCGATGACCCTAACAAAAGTAAGACATCGACAATGGAGCGAAAAACATACGCTGCCGTTGCTACATCATCGGAGGGGCTAAAGACAGTTCCATTACCAGTAGTGAAGCCACCTGCTCCGAGTGCCGAATCAAAGACCCGTGGGGTTAATACACCCCGTCGCGGCGATTCTTTCACGGATAGTAGCGTTATATTCCGTAACGCGGCTGAATCTACTGTTGTCCTTCCCGCTGATCGCATGTTGGACGACCTTCAATGGTTTAAAGTGTGCGTAACGAGGCTTCTTCCGCCTGGTTTTCCAGGCGTTACTGTCAGGAAGCTGATTAGACTGGGGAACGTCCCAGTTAACGTACCAAACCCGCGACCGCGGCTACTTCGTGTGGTACTCTCTACCCCGGAGGAACGCAATGCTCTCATGCGGTTTGCGTTTAAGCTGAAAGGTACAAATATTAGCGTTCAGCCGGACCTTCCGCTAGCCGATAGGCTGAAGCTAAGGGAGGCCATCAAGGACCTCAAAAGCAGGCGAGCGGCCGGTGAACAAGGTCTCCGGTTAGTGGGTTTTCGGGTGGTCAGCCGGCGGTCCTTTTCCGCCCTACCAGTGCCAGTACTGGTAGCGCACGACCCAGGTCTGGATCTAACGAAAAACTTCAGATAGTGCTAAGTAATGTGCGCAGCCTAAGGAATAAGGTGTACGAGTTAGGTCTGCTTGTAGATGGGTCTCATCCCGATATACTCGCATTCACTGAAACGTGGCTGTCTCAGGACATCACGGATGGTGAAGTACATCTATCGGGCTACGCACTATTTAGATGCGATCGCTCTGCTGGCCGACAGGGAGGGGGCGTCGCTCTTTATGTGAGCTGTAAACTTGACGTTTTGAAGACTTGCCTATTTCAGTCAGCAGACAAAACTGTTGAAGCTCTGTCGGCTGTTATTAGCACATCCTCGGCTCAGGTTACAGTTGTAATTGTGTATAGAAGCCCTGGGAGCGTATCCAAAGAGGTACTTGACTTCATTCGCTCCCAGTCCGCAAATAAGTGTTTGGTGATGGGCGACTTCAACCTCCCAGAGATTTGTTGGGCAGATCTTTCTTGCGACTCAGCGTCAGGCACATTCGGCGCTGATCTGCTTGAACTTACGCTCCAAGTATCTTTGCACCAGTTCATTGACCTCCCCACTAGGTACATGGACGCCCAAGTACCGTCTATCTTAGACCTTGTATTCGCTAAGTCACTCGATTTTGTTGGTGACATTACTTACGGACCTCCACTGGGTTCCAGTGATCATGTTTGTTTGCTCTTCAATTGTACTCTGTCTAGACGCTACCAGAGTACTGTTGAGTCTCGCCCGAACATATGGCAAGCAGACTATCAATCAATGAGAGCCAAGGCTTCTGGTTTCCATTGTGAGATCTCAGACGACGATACTGTCCAGGTTGCCTGGGATAAATTTAAGTCCTACCTCACAGAGGTCTCTGCTCCCTTCATACCAGTCACAAGGAGAAAGGAGGCCCGAGCACAGCCGCCCTGGATAGATCCCACTGGCAGGCATCTGCTCACAAAGAGATCTAGATGTTGGCGGACTTACCGAGACGCTCCGTCTACCGATACTTATGACAGGTACCGTAAAGCTAGAAATAGGTGTAAGCAACACCTAAGGGATGCTCGGCTCACTTTTGAAAAAGGGTTAGCGGACGAAGCTTCAGAGAATCCAAAAAGATTCTTCGCTTATGTCAAAAGACGCTGCGGTTCGAAAATGTCAATTCCAGTATTGATGCGTGATGACGGTACTCATGCGCATACGGATTATGACAAGGCCTGCGTACTCAGTGGGCAATATGCGGCAGCGTTTGTAAGGGAAACCTCTTTGACAGGCGTTGAGCTGGTTTGCAGGACTCCAGAGGGTTCAGAACTATCTGAATTTATTGTAGCGGAGACTGCAGTTCGTAGGCTGTTACAAGGGCTGAACCCTTCTAAGGCCTCTGGGCCTGATTTAATTCACCCGAAACTGTTGCATGAGTTGGCTGCGGAACTAAGTGGACCGCTCGCTATTGTGTTTCAGAAATCGCTTGACAGTTGTGCATTGCCTTCCGAATGGAAGGAAGCTGTCATCTGTCCCATCTTCAAACATGGGGACAGGGGTCTGCCTGCAAATTACAGGCCAGTTAGTCTGACGAGTGTAGTAATCAAACTCCTCGAGAAACTGGTGAGAGATTCATTAGAGAGTCATCTGAGTAGATTTAATCTACTTAGCAATGTACAACACGGATTCCGGAAGGGATTTTCGTGTCTGACGAATCTGTTGGTGGCTCGCGAAAATTGGGCGGATGCAGTGGATAACGGCCACACGCTGGACGTGCTTTTCGTCGACTTTTCGAAGGCATTTGACAAGGTACCCCATTTGAGGCTCGCGCAAAAGCTGTCCTCCTACGGGGTATCTGGCCGCGCCCTTCATTGGGTGACTGCCTTCTTGGAGGGTAGAGAACAATGTGTACGGGTAGGCCGGGGTCTGTCATTTAGGCAGTCTGTCCTCAGCGGCGTGCCGCAGGGCTCGGTCCTTGGACCGCTGTTGTTCTCTATCTATGTGAACGACCTACCCACGGAGCTTGAGGTACCATCGCTGCTATTTGCTGATGACCTGAAGCTGTGGAACATTGTTGATGTTCCTGGGGGTTCCGAAGCTATTCAGCGAGCATTGGATAAGCTTTGGGACTGGTCTACTTTATGGTTACTGCCCATAAATCAGGCAAAGTGCTCCGTTCTTCGAATTGGAGGAGGTTGTCCTCCTGCGAAGTACTTGGTCGGTGGGGTCGAACTCCCCCGTGTATCTAGCCAGGTTGACCTAGGCGTCGTACACTCTTCGGCGTTACACTCCGGCGACAACTGGAAGAAGGCCGCAAGCAGAGGTTTACGCATGTTG